TACAGAATTTTTGTTGGAACATAACATAGTACAGAATGTGGGTACATGACAGTGTAAAGCTGTATAAATCAGCTGTATTTAACCATATGTAAACACCATTTCAACAGAACTGACCAAGTTATTTACTAAAACTAGAAGTAAACTAATATGAAAATGTTTAATAATTTTATATGTGCATCCATCCATTTTCTAACCACTTTACAGGGTAGTGGGGGAGCCAAAGCCTTTCCCAGCAAGCAATGGGCACAAGGTGAGATACACCCTGGATGGGATGGTCCATCACAGGGCACACACAGACACAAACACTCATGCACTTACACCAGGCCAATTTACCCAAAAGCAAATCTAACAATCAGTATGTCTTTGGACTGTGGCAGGAAACCAAAGCAACCCAAGAAAACATGGAAAGAACACACAGTTGCAAGAAAAAGTTTGTGAACCCTTTGGAATTACCTGGAGTTCTGTATTAATTACTCATAAAAATGTGGTCTGATCTTGAACTAAGTCACAATAATAGACAAACACAATCTGCTTAAATTAATAACACACAAACAAATTGCACTTCTTGTCAATATTGAACACATCGTTTAAACATTCACAGTCCAGGTCGGAAAATGTGAACCATTGTATTTAGTAACTGGTAGAACCTTTAGCAGCAATGACCTCCACCAAACATTTTCTGTGATGAGACGTGCACAAAGGTTAGGAGAAAATTTAGACCATTCCTTGAGGTTGAGGTCTGGACTGTGACTTGGCCATTCCAGAACACAATTTTTTTTTTTAAACCATTCTGTTACTGATTTACCCGTGTGTTTCAGGTCATTGTCTTGTTGCATCACCCAACTTCCATTAAGCTTCAGGTGACAGACTGCTACCCTGACATTCTCCTGTAAAATTTCTTGATACAATTTTGAATTCATTGTTCTCTCTAAAAGCTGTGCAGGCCCTGAGGCAGCAAAGCAGCCCCAAACCATGATGCTCCCTCCACCGTGCTTCATTCTTGGGATTAGGTTTTGGTGTTGGTGTGCAGTGTTTTTTTTTCCCTGCAAGCATAGCATGAACGTTTCTGCCAAAGAGTTAAACGTTTGGCTCACCCGTCCCCAGAACATTGTCCAAGAAGCATTGTGGAACACCCAGGTGGTATTTTGCAAACTTGAGATGTGCAGCAATGTTTTTCTTGGAGAGCAGTTGTTTCCTCCTTGGGTGTCCTTCCATTAACACCATTCTTGTTCCGTGTTTTTCTTATAGTGGACACATGAACAGAGACTTTGGCAAGTTCAAGAGATTTCTGCAGGTCCTTTGCCGTTACCCTAGGGTTCTTTTTCACCTCCTTCAGCATTGCACACTGCACTCTCGCCGTGATCTTTGCAGGACGCTCACTCCTAGGGAGAGTAGCAACAGTACTGAATTTCTTCAATTTGCAGATAATTAGTGGATTAATGAACATCCAGGCCTTAAGAAATGCTTTCATAGCCTTTTCCGGTTTTATGCATCTCTACAATTCTTTTTCTAAGGTCCTCTGATATTTCTTTTGATCAGGGCATGGTTCACATGAACAGCTCTTTCTTGAGAAGCGCAGACTCTGTCAGTAACCAAACTTTGTGTGCCTTTTTAATAGGGCAGGACACCCCCAACCCACACCTCCAATCTTATCGAATTGATTGGAACACCTGACTCCAATTAGCTTTTGAAAAAGTCATTTGCCTAGAGGTTCACAAACTTTTTCCATCCTAGACTGTGAATGTTTAAACGATGTGTTCAGTACTGACAAGAAGAAGTACAAACCCAAAGGGTTCACAATATTTTTCTCGCAACTGTACAAACTCCATACAGATAGCACACCAGGAATTCAACTTAAGGCCCCAGTACTGCAAGCCAGCAATGCTAACCACATTGAGCTTCTACTCTGCTCATCTTTGCATATTCCAAAGGTGGTGATTTTAAACAAATAAGAATGAGTCCAACAGTTCCTTTGACTTCAGGCCTCATCATAATCGAAGTCACTGTTATAGAGTTCTATTCTACCCACTATTTACAGTAGATATTTATTCAAAGAGCTGTCAGCAGATGTAATTGTGCCTGTAGCCACCACTTATCAATTTCATTTTTCTAGAAATTTCGATTTCTACAGTAGGCAAATCTAACACATGCACCTGGAAGATTGTGACTTAAAAAAAGACTCAAAAGACTGAAATCAAAGTAAAGAAATGAGATGCAATTAATACAGTGCTATGATAATACAGTCTTTCTCCAAGGCTTTTTATTGGACAAGTGGTTACGCACTTCCCTTTGGACCACATCAGAGTCATGTATGGTTTCAAGAGTGTGCTGTACTTGAGAAGAAACCTATTTTCTGACATTAAACCTTGCTCCTTTACATACAGTACCATTTGATTTTTCTCAACTATCAAATATTAGTAGGTACTTTGCTCTATGAACTGAATATGTGCTGGACTCTGAACAGCTTTATCAATGTGAACACTGCTTCCAAAGAAACTAAAATTTGTGAATGGTGTTTAAGACCTCTGTGAATGTGAAAATTCATTTGAACAAATGAGGCACCCGTAAACAATGTGATTTTCTATTTCAGATTTATAACTATTTTATGATATGGTTTTTAGTTTCAGCTATGAATTT